GAGATGCTGTGTTCTAATTTACATCCTAAACCACCCTGTGGGTGCCTTGTGGCCTAGGGGCAGCCTTGGATGGATATAACATTGTTTCAGATATCCCCTGCTTTAGATTCTGATTATGACTTGTGACATTCTATTTCTAGATAATATCTCTAATCTCTATTTTGGAGAGAGGAATCCAAATTCTGGAAGTCATTCTCAAGAGAAAGAGGGGCTGATATTGGTACCTAGAACTGGGTTTTCGCATGCTCGTGGGGGGGTTTCTTCTTGTCACCTCCTGGCTTGTCTCCCATACACCCCTAGTCCCATCCACAGAGGGCAATCTGAGCAGCTTTGGGAATGGTGGGGAAAGATACTGGAACTTGGTTTAGTAAAACAACTCAGTGAAGATACGAACTAAGGAAACCCAAAGTTATTCCTGAGAAAGCCTGACATGTCTTAGAGGTTTTTCTTTTTTTTTTTTTGAGACAGAGCCTTGCTCTGTAGCCCCAGGCTGGAGTGTAGTGGCGTAATCTTGGCTCACTGCAACCTCTGCCTCCTGGGTTCAAGCAATTTTCCTGCCTCAACCTCCCCAGTAGCTGGGACTACAGGCATATATCACCATGCCTGGCTAATTTGTTTATTTTTAGTAGAGACGGGGTGTCACCATGTTGGCCAGGCTGGTCTCAAACTCCTGACCTTGGCTGATCTGCTTACCTCAGCCTCCCAAAGTGCTGGGATTACAGGTGTGAGCCACTGCGCCTGGCTGTCTTTGATTTCTTTCTAAGGAAGGTGAAAATCCTCTATCCAACCCACAAGACACTATGGGCACAGCTAAAGTGTTACACAGTATTTTGTTTCTAGGTACTGTTAAAATGCCTTTCCAACATGCTGCCATGATTTTAATTATATATGTGTGTATACAAAATGTGTATATACATTTTGGAATATATGTGGAATGGAATTTGGATTTTAAGGAGACAGAAAAACTGAATTTTAAGATCTCCTTCCTTCTGCCCCAGGTGTTCATTTGATACCTAGAGATATTTATGCATGGGAGTACCTAGGCAGTAAAGTGTAGGAGTTAAAAATGATCAGTCTGGAGGGACAGATCTGGGTGGGTTCAAATCTCATCTCTGCCACTCACTAGCTGTGTCTGCTTAAACAAATTCATTAAACACTCTAAGCCTCATTTTCCTCAACAAAGATGGTAAAAGCTTCTTCTTCAAAACTTCATTGTGAGGTTCAGTGAGCTGATGTATGTATAATAGAATGCTTAGCATAGAGCCAAGAACATAGCACCCAGAAATGCCAGCTCTTCTTCTCAGGAATTGAGATGCAAACCTCAACTCTGGTTGGAAACATGTTGAACATCCAAGACAGTTTTTGTACCCTTGTTGGGGGCCCCCTGTTTCCTCCGTGTGAATCCCCTTAGAATTTGTTCACTGTCCCCCAAATCTCATCTGTGTGACTGCTCCAACCAAGGAGAACCTCTGGTTGCCATGGCATGCATTTATCCTGTGAGCATGCTTAATGATCTTGTTCTCCAGGTCCCTGGAGTACAATGTAAGACTAGTGAGCTTGTTAACAAGGGTGCAAAGCTGATAAGAATGGGCTGCCCAATGTATTTGCTCTAGTTACAAAGTTGTGTGGGAAAACAGAATTGCTGAAAACTCAGGACACTCATAGAGAATGCTCATGGCAGCAGATTTTCCATTCTCACATGCAATTGCTTCCACCTCCAGGGTATAACAAAACCTTCCAGCGACTTCTTTTTATGTAAGGAGATAGCAGAATGTAGTCAGTATACGTGCTGAGGTTGGGCTGAGAGAGCCGTGGGTTGGCTGCTGCTAGCTGAGAGAGTGGGTAAATTATTGGACCTCCGTACACCTCAGTTTTCTCCTCTGTAAAATGGAAATCCTTCTGTAAAATAGCATCTATCTCACTTGTGTTTTGAGGATTAATTAAGATAATGAATATAAAGTGCCTGGCACATAGTAAGCGATCAATAAGTAAACTTTATCATCAGCACCATCTTCATAATTACTCCCTAGCTCTTGGCATTACTGGGTATAGAATATAAGCTCTGCAAAACAATCAGCCTCCTGTCCAACATTGGTATGCTATTAATGGTGGATATTAGAATGTTTCTGCTGTGAATATCAACTACAGAAGCAAATTATTCTTTCTGAAGCTCTCCAAGGGCTCGCCTCATTCTGTAAGGCCTCTGGTTTGCCCTCTATAGCTTGCTCTCACCCTGTGAAAGGATGATTTCCTGCAGCAGACACCATTGGTGGCCACCCCACTGCAAGTCCCCCTTCTTCCTTGTGAACAGAACACAAATTTTGCTTAGGCAGCCACGTGCCTAGTCCCAGGGTAAAAAGCCTGATTAATGCAAGCCATTTATGGCAGTCTCATTCGGCTTTACCTTAGTTGGTCTAGGTGAGGGCATGTGAATGCATTCTCGCAGCTGAGACATAAGGGAAACTGTCATAGTAAAAGGAGAGAGGAGCATGAGGTGAGCCTCATCTTAGTCCCTGCCCTCTTCCTCCCTGCTTTAGCTACTGTCTTGGGATGCTTGGAGCTGCAAGTAGCTATTTTGGGACCATGAGGGAGGTACCAGCATGAAGACAAAAGCCAACACTGCTAAGATGGCAGAGCAGAAAAATAGGAAGAGTTCAGATTCTTAATGACATTGCTAAGCTGCCAAATCAACTTGGAGGCTGCTGCTCTCCAGACTTCTTTCTTAGTATACAATAACTGTTCTTATGATTTGGGCTACTGTTAATCTGGTTTTCTACTAATTAATCAGTATACTCCTTTTCTGTTTGCCAAGCCTGGAAAATGACTGCTATTCAAATTCTGCTGAGATATAAAGACATTCTGTTCTTATTTTCTTCCTCTACATTTGGGTAGTCAAGTGTCTTTAAATACATTCCACCCTCACTATTAAAGTGAAACTGTTGTTGAAAAGGTCATCAATGACCTCTTGATTGACATGTCCAATAGCTCCAACTGATTTTGCATTCTGCTGAACCTCTATTCCATTAAACAGCTTGACCATGTTCTCATTCCTAAAGTGAATTCTTCCCTCAGCGGGCCTCACTGCTCTTTCTTTCTACGTCTCTGGCCCTTCCTCTGTGGTCCGTTCTTTCTGCCTCCTTACCTACCTATGAACCCTGACATTCTGCCCTTTGCCTTCTCTTCTCTCACTCAGCACTTTCCCAGCATGCTGCCTTCACTTCTAAGACTTTGGTTACCATCTGTGGGTTCTAGCAATGGTCCCATTCATATTTCATAGGCAGATCTTTTTGCAGCACCAGATGTGAGCAGAACATGCCCAATTGGATGTCCTCATAGAACCGTCAATACTGCATTTCCTAAACTGAACTGTGTCCCTTTACAAATTACTTATCTATAACACACTTTACCACTCATACTAGCCCACAGCTAGAAACCCCAGAGTCATCCAAAGCAATTCCTTCTCTTCCAATATCCAATTAATCACCAAGTATAAAAATTTCTCTATTCTCAGGAGTCTATTGCAGCTTCCGCATGTTCACTGCAACAGCCTCCATTTATCATTTCTATAGTGCACAAGGCTTCACCTGCCTCCAATCTCCCCCTCTCCAATCATCTGCATTGCTGGTAGAGTGGGTTTTCTAAAAGCAAATTGAATCATTTCACTGGTTTTAAAAATTTCCAAGAGGGTATGTGTGTATGTGAGGGGGGTATGGTTTAGAGACTGTATTAGCTATCATGCCCTCCAAATAAAGTCCACATTTCATAGCACAGCATAGAAGGCCCTCTAGTCTCTCTGAGTACACACTGATTTTTGCATTTCATGTCCTATGACCTCCCCTCACTGTCCCTGAATCCTGAGCTCAAGCTCCTGTGAATTCCTCTTTCCTTCCACTACTTCCTCTGATTAGATGGTGGAGATCAATTCCCAGCACTCTGAACTCCTGGCTTCGTTCAGTTTTCAAGTCAAACTGCGCTTCTTCCCAAAAACATTACCTGACCCAAGGACCAGACCTGAGTTTCTCAACCTCAGCACCACTGGCCTTTAGAGTTAGATAATTCTTTTTGTGGGGGACTGATCTGTGCCTTATAGATGTCTAGCAGCATCTCTGGCTTCTACTTACTAGATGCCAGTAGCAACCCCGCCCACCCATGTGACAACCAAAAATGTTTTCAGACACTGTAAATGTCACCTGTGGAAAGTAATTGCCCCCAGTAGAGAACTATGAAACTAGACCAGGTCTTCTTCTTATCATCCATAGCTTCCTGGTCTTCCTTGATCACCACACTTATGGCACATTTTTATTTTATTTTTTGAGACAGAGTCTCACTCTGTCACCAGGCTAGAGTGCAGTGGTGTGACCTTGGCTCACTGCAACCTCTGCCTTCCAGGTTCAAGCAATTTTCCTGCCTCAGCCTCCTGAGTAGCTGGGATTATGGGCACCCACCACCATGCCTCGCTAATTTTTGTATTTTTAGTAGAGACGGGCTTTCACTATGTTGGCTAGGCTGGTATTGAACTCCTGACCTCAAGCGACCTGCCCACCTTGGCATCCCAAAGTGCTGGGATTACATGCGTGAACCACCACGCCCAGCTCGTGGCACAGTTTTGAAGTGACTTGTCTGATTGTCTCATCTGCTTCCAAAGGCTGTTATCCAGGAGGGCACCTCCCAGGGCATGGCACCCAGTAGGCATGCAGTCTAGCTTCATGGAAGAGTGGGCTCTGTGATGCGAGCAGCTGTCATCTTCATCATTATAGCTCTAGTAGCCAGCGTGGTGCTGGCACATAATAGGTGCTCAGTAAGTATGTGTTGCATGAAGGAATGATTGAATGCTCCCATTCAATCACTTCTTTCTCTCTAACCGAAGTATCCTAGTCAGGGTTTTGAGCCTTGTCTTCTCTTCCCCCATAAAATTATCATACATAGCCCTGTTCCCTAGTACTTAGTACACTGGATAGCAATGACAATCAAGACAATAGATGAAATCATGTTTGTTGGAAAAAAATAATGCTATATCTTGAGGCCTTTTTCTAAAAACAGAAAAACCAACTCCAGTGCTGTGCCCAGCAACCTCATGGTCTAACTTGTCCCTCGACTGCCATGCCTGCTGTGCCCCTGGCAGCTCTCAACCACACCCGCCACACACACACTTACCCGAAGCGGAGGAATCACTCAGGGCTGCTGAGATTTGAAAGCTTACTTCCATTCCAAAGCATCATTGTGCCTCGCTCCTCGCTCACTGTAACCCCAGCCTCCTGCATTGCATTCTGCCAGGGGGTGATTACATGGAGCTCACTTGCAAGCCTCTCCTGGGCATGGGAACAGTCCTTTCTGCAGCGTGCTTTCCACCTGATGACCTGAAATGAAGAAGCCAGTGAGGGCTCCACGGCAGAAGGGAGTCGCGATACAATTCAGGCAAACAAACATTAAAAAACGGTTGGTAGAAAGGAAATCTGCCTGCCAGGGAGAAGAGTCTGGTACTCAGAGTAGAGTTGGGTAGCTCTTCATGCGCAGTAGATGGTGAATATGCATCCTTTATATGCATCCTTGAGTCACAAAGCCTGCGGAGAGAAGATGCTGTAGTTAATATTTATATTTGGCATCCAATCTTCCACATAAATAACAGCACCAAGGACTGGTGTTTGGTTTAAGGTCAGCTCCGTTTAAACAGCCCGGTCAGGTGCAGACACACATTCTAGACCTTTGAACTCTGTGTGTTGTAATCCAGATGTTTGGTCAAGGTGATGAACTCGGGTCACTGACGGTGAGAGAGTGTGCGCTGCTCTCTTCTAGCATCTTCCACAGGGAGCCCTGGACAGAAGGCCTGGCCCCAAGCCCACTTTCTTCGCCAGAGTCAAGAAACAGTAGCAGCTGCAGTTGTTGCTAGGGATGAGGGATCATCCACTTGGGAGTTGAGATAGCCGGGAGGGGGTGGTGGGTAGCAGGAAGTAGGTCTTGAAATTGACCGTGCTTAGCTGCTGCCCATGTTTGGATTACTCAGAGACAGTCTGCAATGGGGAAAATATTAGGCTTTTAATGACAGCCCTGACAAACACGATCTGTATGACCAAATCAATCTCAAATGCAACTGCTAGCATTTATTAAAGGAGGATTTGCCAAGTTGCACTGTTCTCCTAGAGTTTTCCTAGTCCCACGCTTTGCCTCGAACACGTACCCAGAGCGAGGGGTTTGAAGTTTCTGAGTTTCATGCAAAGCACGTATGTTGTTTGGGTTTTGTTTTGTTTGTTTGCAAAATACGTTATATAAGAAAGACGCATATGTCAATAAAATGGTAAATACAAACCCTCCAAAAAGATGTAACATATTTCTAATGAAAGGAAACAAACACCTTCACTTTATCCACAAAAAAATGTAAAAGGATGAAGAGGGGCCATTTTCATTCACAGATTGTGGAATCCTACTGTTTACTGCTCTCTAAATGAGTATGTTTGAGGCATGACTTCAATGGGGATTCTCAAAATGAAGCAGCTCCTGGCATAGCGAAGAGAACACTGATGCTGGCAGCCAGGAAGTTTGGATTCCGGGCTTGACCGCTGACCCCGGCTTCCTGGCTTCCAGCCCCAGCACTCCACTCAAAGTGTTCTTGTCAAGGGTACCAGTGATCTTCTAATTGCTAAATCCAAAGGGCATTTTTCAGTCCTCTTCTGACCTGACCTCTCTTCAGCCAGAGGACATAATTGCCCACTCTTTCCTCCTTGAAGTTCTCTTACCCTGTGGCTTCAATGACACCATCCCATCCTGGCTATCCTCCAGCTTTCTCTATCACTCCTTCTAAGACCCTCTCCTAGGCTGCTCTCTTTTTCCTCAACAGCTATGGGGTAGCAACTGTGGACTGAAGTTGTGCTTAGGCTTTGTATGCATCTTCGTATCAACAATTCACAGCATTCCTGAGCTTATTGGTTCCATTTTAAAGATAAGAAAACTTCAGGCAGCGATGGCTCATGTCTGTAATCCTACCACTTTGGGAGGCCGAGGCAGGCAGATTACTTGAGGTCAGGAGTTCGAGACCAGCCTGGCCAACATGGTGACACCCCATCTCTACAAAAAATACAAAAATTATCCAGGGATGGTGGCGTGAGCCTGTAATCACAGCTACTTGGGAGGCTGAGACCCAAGAATCACTTGAACTGGGGAGGCGGAGCTTGCAGTGAGCTGAGATCGTGCCACTGCACTCCAGCCTAGGCAACAGAGCGAGACTCTGTCTCAGAAAAAAAAAAAAAATTAAATTATTATTAAAAAATAGATAAGAAAACTAAGGCTCTGAGTGATTTAAGGGATCCTCACCCAAGGTCACATAGCTAATAAGTAGCAGGAATGGGAATCCCAACCTAGGTCTGTTTGAATCCAGAGTCAAGTTCTCAGCTATTAAACTCTAATGTCGCCTTCTCAAGTAGCCCCTCCCTTAAATAGATGTGTTCTCCAGAGTTCTGTGTTTTGCTCCTTTTTCTCCTCTCTGCCCCTGTCTCGGCTAGGGCTCCTTCTCAGCCTTGCCTGCAGTTAACTCTTCTATGATATCTTCAGCCAAATTCTGTCTTCTGATGCTGGTTTCCAACTGTTTTCATGCTATCTCCATTTGCATAAGACACAGCCTCCTTATAGAGGTGGGGTGGTGGACTCCCCAACTGCCGTTTCATTCCTGATGGTTGGCTAAAGCCAGTGATTATTTTAGGAGCGAGCTCATGACCCACTTCTGCCAGTAAGACATGAAGGGGAAGATTGCTGGGGACGTCTGGGAAAGGTTTTTCTCCCTCCTAAGAAGACACATGAAAAAATGGTACCTCTTGTTCCTTTCAATGCTGAACCTTGTAATATTGGAGTGGTGACAACTGTCTGCAGCCACGAGGAGAACCAATGTCAGGTTGAAGCCGTAAGAAAAGGATGGAATCCGTGTGCTTATGAACAAGTTGATTGTACCTCATCTAGGACTGGGGCTTTAGACTATGTTGACTATTAATAGTACAGTTTCTCACGGTTTGTATGGGTTTATTGTTGCTGTGGTGGTTGTTACTTGCAGCCACAAGCGTCCCAAATAACACATCAAATTCATCACATCTATAACTTAGGTCAATATTTCCTCCTCTAAACAGCCTCTCCTTCTGTGACTCTATGTCTGTTAAGAGCACTATGATCCACTCAGTCACTCAAGTCGGAAACCTGGGTATTATCCTTGACTCCGCCCTCTGCCTTATCCAGAGTGTCCAATCATGAATTAAGCCCAGCAGCTTTTACTGTTGGAAATCTCTTCATTTTTTCCAGTAACCCTCTCCCTGTCTTCTTCAGTTATTTGTCATTTTTACTGATCTTCTCTTCCCTTTCTCACTTTGACCCAAACTACTACTATATGCATTGTTCCTAAAGATTTTTTTTTTTTTTTTTTGAGATGAAGTCTCGCTCTGTTGCCCAGGCTGGAGTGCAGTGATGCGATCTTGGCTCACTGTAAGCTCCACCTCCCAGGTTCACACCATTCTCCTGCCTCAACCTCCTGAGTAGCTGGGAGTACAGGCACCCACCACCACGCCTGGCTAATTTTTTTTTTTTTGTATTTTTAGTAGAGATGGGGTTTCACCATGTTAGCCAGGATGGTCTGGATCTCTTGACCTCGTGATCTGTCTGCCTCAGCCTCCCCAAGTGCTAGGACTACAGGTGTGAGCCACCACGCCCGGCCCCTAAAGACATTTTAAAAATTCAATGTAAATTCCATAAATTTCCCGATTATAGTCTGGGAATAGGCCATCATTGTCTTCACGATAAAATCCAGCCATAGCTTGTGAATAGCCCACCATTGTCTTCAAGATAAAATCCAACCAATCAGCATGGTTCATAAGATGCTTCAAGGCAGAGCTTACCTCTCTGGATGCTCACATCTACCAATCCACGTGCACTCCAAGTTCCAGCACACTGGTTGCCTTGCAGTCTACAAGGCTCCTCTCCTTAGTGTCACTGCATGAGCTGTTCCCTGACCTTGAATGCCCTTCCTGACTTGTTTCCCTGAACCATGCTGGTTGGCCAGTATGTTCCCATGTACTTTGGTTTGTGTCTCTTATAATATAGCAGGTAGGAATTTCAGGCATGCCAGAAATGTCTTACCTTATTGTTCCCTCTCCTTGATTTTTATTTGGAACCCATATCCTGACTCAATTTCAGTGCTAAGGGGGTTGTCTATCTGGTCTCAGGGCATGTGTTAATCACAGGTTGCCATAGAGATATCCCTAGTTTCCTCTTCATGGCCCTTTCAAGTCCAGTTGTTGTCTTGGCAATGCCCAACCCAGGCTAGAGATCCTGGAAGCTATGCACAGTGGCCTCTGCATAGACACAACCACTGCCACTCCTGCTTTGGGATCCGGCCACCTTCCCAGAGCCCATTTGTAGGCAGGCTCCCCCTGCTCTCTGGCCCACAGTCCCCTCTACCTTATGAACTCTTCATCTTCTCTCCTTCCGCAATGCCTAGAGGAAGCACTCCCGTGACCCTATTTCTTCCAAACATTTGTCTATCCCCCACCTCCTCTCAGTTCCCCTACCAGGGACTTCAGGAATTTAGAATTCAGGGAACACGAGAGGCAGGGATTGACGGGCCTTTTTTGCTTCTCCTCTGCCACATTTCCTAAGACAGGGAGCATCAACAGTCAGATTGAAAAAGGGGAAAATACCGGCAGACAAAAGAACACAGGGTAACAGTGACTGATCACCTGGCCACCTCTCTGTTCCCGTCACCTGCTCATGTGCATCTTTCTCCCAGACTGTGAGGCCTGCTATGTCCGTGATCCTTGTATCGTCAGCATGCCGTATCTGGCTCATAGTAGGTACTTCATAAATATCTGTCAAGACTAAAAATAAAAGTAAGAAGAGAATGTAGTTGGAGTCAGGAGACCTGAATGCATCCCTCCAACTGTCTTCCTAGTTGTGTGACCTGAGGCAAGATACCCTACCTCTCTTCTCTTGGCAGTAGCAACACGGAGGAGAGGCTCTGAAGAGGAGGTGAGGGTTATGGCGCTCTTCAAAGCTCTGCAGTTGGTACTTCCACCTCTTCCCAGCCTTCTCAGATTCTGGCTCCATCTTACCATCTCCCTGTCATGCTTCAAGTGGCCCAAAACTTTTATATCAGGTGCCTCTTCCCCTTGCAAAGCTATTTTGTGTATAAATAGATTTTTGCTCTTCCTCCTCCAGGTGGGCCCCTTTCCTTCCTTCAGTTAACAACTTTCAGGATTCTTGCATTCCAGGGATTCGGTTTGTGATGAAGTACAAAGAACTGGAAATTCTGGTTCTGCCACACCCTGGCTGTGGGTTGGACCAGTGTCTAAGTCTTAGTTTCCTCATCTGGAAGATAGAAATGGTCATAACTGACTAACTAGTTCTTTCAGAGCCTGGACTCTGGAGCCCAAGCTGCCTCAGTTCAAGTCTCAGCCCAGTCACTTTCCAGATGTGCAACTCAGGGTAAGTAACTTAACTTTACTGCTTCTTAACTTCCTAATTTATAAAAGGGGCACTGTAATATAATCTACCTCATATGCTTATTGTTAATATTCATTGAGTTATCAGTTCTTGTTTAACACCTAAAATGCTTAGCACCTTGTCTGAGTAAGCACTCCGTATACGTTGGTTATTATTATCTCATAGGCAGCCTCTCTCTTGGGTTTTTGTTTTTGACAGGGTCTCACTCTGTTGCCCACGTTGGAGTGCAGTAGCATGATCTCAGCTCACTGCATCCTTGACCTCCCTGGCTCAAGCAATCCTCCCACCTCAGCCTCCTGAGTAGCTAAGACTAGAAGCTTGCACCACCATGCCTGGCGAATTCTTGTATCTTCTGTGGAGACAGGGTTTTGTCATATTGGCCAGGCTGGTCTTGAACTCCTGAGCTAAAGCCATCCGCCCACCTCGGCTTTCCAAAGTGCTGAGATTACAGGTGTGAACCACTGCACCTGGCCAGGGCAGCCTCTCTTTAGCTACCCACAAACTCATGATGTATGGATAAGTTTGCTAGGTCTGCTGTAACAAAGTAATTCAAACTGTGCCACTTAAACAACAGAGATTTATTTCCTCACATTTCAGGACCTAGAAGTCCAAGATCAAGGTGTCGGCAGGTTTGATTTCTCCTGGGGCCTCTCTCCTTGGGTTGCAGACGGCCACCTTCTTGCTGTGTCTTTATGTGGTCTTTCCTCTGTGTGTGCATTTGTCTTCATTTTTCTTTTCTTTTTTTTTTTTTTTTGAGACGGAGACTCGCTCTGTCGCCCGGGCTGGAGTGCAGTGGCCAGATCTCAGCTCACTGCAAGCTCCGCCTCCCGGATTGACGCTGCCTCAGCCTCCGGAGTAGCTGGGACTACAGGCGCCCGCCTAGTTTTTTGTATTTTTTTTTTTTTTTTAGTAGAGACGGGGTTTCACCATGTTAGCCAGGATGGTCTCGATCTCCTGACCTTGTGATCTGCCCGTCTCGGCCTCCCAAAGTGCTGGGATTACAGGCTTGAGCCACCGCGCCCGGCCTGTCTTCATTTTTCTATGTAGAGTGTCTAAATTTCCTCTTCTTATAGGGATACCAGGCAGATTGGGCTCACCCAAATGGCATTATTTTAACTTAATCACCTCTTTAAAGACTCTATCTTTAATACAGTCATATTCTGAGGTAGCCAGGATTAGGGCTTCAACATATTGATTTGGGAGTGGGGGTGGAGACACAGTTCAGCTCGTAACAATGTGCACATAGACCCTAACATTATTAGATGTTCCTGTGGGTAAGTCTCTTTCTTAATATTACTCTTCATGAATGTCAGGATATTTAAGTTCTAGGGATTCCAATCAGAAAAGCAGGTTTTGAAGTCCAGGTACAAAACCTGGTCAATTGCAGGAATGAACCTGGATGAGCTACATAGGCTGCCAGTGTCAATGGTAATTCACACAGAGGCAGCTGTGGGAGGCAGCGATGTATGTGAAGGCCCTCTGTGATCTCTCTGTCCATGGGTTTTTGCCTCTGAACTAAGACAGTACTAGATGGATGGTCTTAACTCTTCATTCCATCTTCAACATTCTATGACTCTGACTCTAAGGGTGGAAATTCAAGTCTCAAGGATAAGCTGCCAGTAGCCGAGCCCAGTGGTGTGTGCCTGTAGTCCCAGATACTAGGGAGGCCAAGGCAGGAGGATCTCTTGAGCTTAGGAGTTCGAGACCAGCCTGGGAAAAATAGACCCCTGTCTCAAATATAAAATAATAATAAAAAAAAGAACAAGCTGCTAGGGAAGCAATTTCTGGGTCCAGGGCTTTAATAAACATTGCAGAACTGGCTAGGTGCAGTGACTCACGCCTGTAGTCCCAGCTCTTTGGGAGACTGAGGCAGGTGAATTGCTTGAACCCAGGAGTTCGAGACCAGCCTGGGCAACAGGGTGAAATCCCGTCTCTACAAAAAATACAAAAAGTAGCTGGGCATGGTGGTATATGCCTGTAGTCCCAGCTACTTGGGAGGCTGAGGTGGGAGGATCACTTGCGCCCAGGAAGTCAAGGCTGCAGTGAGCTGACATCACGCCCCTGCACTCCAGCCCTGGGAACAGAGTAAGACCCTGTCTCAAAAAACAAACAACAATAATCACAATAACAACAGAAAACACGGCCGGGCGTGGTGGCTCATGCCTGTAATCTCAGCACTTTGGAGGCCGAAGCGGGTGGATCACCTGAGGTCGGGTTAGCCTGAGAAACATGGAGAAAACCTGTCTCTACTAAAATACAAAATTAGCTGGGTGTGGTGGCGCACGCCTGTAGTCCCAGCTACTCGGGAGGCTGAGGCAGGAGAATTACTTAAACCCAGGAGGCGGAGGTTGCAGTGAGCCGAGATCACGCCACTGCACTCCAGCCTGGGCAACAAAGAACAAAACTCCATCTAAAACAAAAACAAACAAACAAACAAAACAGAAAATAGTTATGGAAAAAATGAAGGAAATCATACCATGATAGGGAACCACTCACCTGAATATTCACAAGGCCCAAACTGGAACAGTGCTAAAGCTCATCATCCATTTCCTGGGCTCTGGCACGTGTGGCTGGACTGCTTTGGCAAAAACTCACAGGCCCACAAACTAGGATTGAACAAAAGAAAGCCCCTGTCCCAACAAATACTACATTCTACTGGATGAACCAGGCCAAAACACACACACACACACACACACACACACACACACACACACACTCCATCATACAATGCTAGGTCATGCTAAGGGTGTAAAGAAAGATAAAACAGGGTGAGGGTGGCAGTGACTGGGGGTTATGCTATGTAAGATGTCCTAGTCAGGGAGGTCCTCCCTGAAGAAGCGGCATTTAGCATCCACCTGGACCATGAGAGCAATGTAACTGTGGGAATATCTAGGGGAGAGCAGGCAGAAAGGCCGTGAGGAAGGGCTGGGCGTGGCAGGAAGCAGCAATGGGCCCGAGTTCCTAGAGCTGAGCTGGGGGTGAAGAAGCCAGGGGTGGATGAAGTTAGCAGGTCTTGAAGGCCAGGGTCAAGATTCTGGATTTTCTTCTAAATGTCATGAAAGTCATTCGAGGATTTTGTGCAAGTGAGTCATCAACATCTTGAAAGGATCTCTTGACGTGGTTTTGAGAGAAGACTTTAAAAAATCATGGTAATCACAAAGCCGATGGCCAAATATCTCTTGCTCTCTACCTCCTGGGCACATACTGGCTTCCTGTTTATGCTTCCTGTCATGGCAGTGTGGCCATGAAACTCTGACCAATGAGTTGTGAGCACAGGTCACTGTGTCACTTCCAGGCCAGGCAGCTGATTGCCAGAATGTGTGCCTCCAGAGCTCCTTTACAGCCACCAGTGATGTTCAAGCCAGATGCAGCTCAGAAAGCCTGGGTCTTTGTTTGTGCTGCTGTCACAAAGTACTCAAGACTGCTGGGTAATTTATAAAGAACAGAAATGTATTGTCTCACAGTTCTGGAGGTAGGGAAGTCCAAGATCAAGGTGCTAGCATTTATTGACGGCTGCTTTCTGCTTCCAAGGTGGCACCTTGAACACTGCATCCTCCAGAGGGGAGGAATGCTTTGTCCTCACATGGCAGAAGGCAGTAGGGCAAAGAGGATGAACTCCCTCTGCTATGCCCTTTTATAGCAGCATTAATCCATTCATGAGAGTAGAGCCCTCACGACCTAAACACCTCTGCAAAGGCTCTACTTCCCAACACTGTTGCATTGGGAATTAAATTTCCAACACATGAATTGTGGGGGACACATTCAGGCCATGACAGCCTAGGTCCAAAGAGTGAAGAGAGACAGGGTGGAGGTGTTGACCTGCAGATATGTGGTTTCAGCAAGAAATCCCTTTAATCACTTTGTTGGGATAAATCACGAAGATTTGGGAGGGTTACCATAGCATAACCAAGCATATCCTGACAGTACAGAGTGCAAGAAGAGAAGACTAGAAGTCCTCCTCTTTTCATTTAGGAGGCTGAGAAGTAATTCTGTGTTGTACTGGAGTGACAGCAATAGAGATAATGGGAAGCGGTCAGATTCAGGATATATACTGAAGGGCAAGTGCAAAGGCTGGACTGATGTAGGGTATAAGAAAAAGAGAGAAGTTAAGGATAACTCCAAAGATTATGGCCTGAGTAATTGGATAAATTACTGAAAAGAAGAATACTCTGGAAGGGACAGGAGTATTCACAGTGCTAGGCACACAGCAAAGCTACAAAATGCTAGGTCTTACGGTTATTACTTTAAGAGGGGAAGGAATATGGAATGTAGATGCTTAGGGAACTTTTCAGTCCAGAGTTATTGAGATGTGACTTACATACAGTAAAATGTACTTATCTTTTTTCAGAGACAGGTTCTTGTTCTGTCTCTCAGGTTGGAGTGCAGTGGCGTGATCATAGCTCACTGCAGCCTCGAACTTCTAGACTCAAGCAATCTCTCTGCCTCTGCCTCCTGAGTAGCAAAATTTACTCTTTTTGGTGTACAGGTCTGAGTTTTGACAAATGCATTCTATCTCGTAAGTACCTCCATAGTAAAGATGTAGATAACTTCCACCCCCCCCCCGCATTCTTCTTTGCTGCCACTCCTTTGTAGTCAAATACTCCCTCCACCCCTAATCCTTGGCAACCACTGATCTGTTCTCTATCCCTCTAATTTTGCCTTTTCCAGAAAGTTACGTAAATGGAACCACACAGTATGAGACCTTTTGAGACTTTGTTCTTTCACTTAGGATAATGTATTTGAGATTCATCCCATTGCATAGATCAGTGGTGTGCTCCTTTTAATTGATGAGTAGTATTCCACAGTATGGATGTGCCACAATTTGTTTATTGTATCGC